GTTCCTAGGTTCCACTTTAAAGTTGGTGGTAACCTGAGCAAGACTAGTTTATAGACCCTTATGGGGGGGATCAGATTTGGGCTCTAAATCTTCCAAGATCACTTTTGTATCTCCTCTTATACTACTTTCAAAACACATGCTTTACAGAGTGCTTCTCCACATCAGAAATGGCTGGCTGCAGCTTCTCTTAAAGTCCATCAGCAGCACGTCTCTCCCTAAGTCAAGGCTATGTCCTTGACGGTACAACATAGCTTAGACCCCAGATTCTGCAGAGCCACAGTGAGGGTGTTCTTAGCAAGGATTTTCATTCAGAAAAGATGCCCCAGGCAGCCCATCCTCTTCTCTCTGCCTCTGATAGTCAGCCTTTAACTTCACCGATTTAAAACAGAGCTGTCTGGAACTCTGCTTCCCTGTGCTAAGAATGCTTAGGTACAGATCCCGAAAGTGGTGACCATCTTCAGCATAAGAGGATAGAGGGGAGGGATTTTACTTGTGCGGGGTCCATTAAGCCCACATTGCCTGTGAAAATACTTAACACCTACACAGCACTGTGCCTGTTCAGCCAATAAATAACCTTCAGGTGTAAGGTAACGGTGTTATCCCCATTTTCTAATGGGGAAATAGAGTCAGCTCCCTCCACGTGGCTGTTTGCATTAAGTAACCAAGGTTGTTCCATGTATCGAGACTTACGGAGTGAATGGAAGGCTGGTATAAGGGGCTAAAATTCTGCCCTTGAAATTCCACAAGAAGGCCTAGGAGGTGAAGAAAAGACCAAGGGATGTGCACAGTATCATCTGTGCACCCCGAATGTGCTGGTAATGAGGATTAATGGCATTTTCGGGTGGGCAGAATTATTGCAAGTTTTTTTTTAAATACTTGCCACTTTTATGCAAGGATCTCAAAATGCTTTACAGATATTAGGGTGAAATTCACTGCATGCAAAGGGCCAGTCCAAGGCCCAGACATCACTCAACTCCCCAGAATAGGGCTCAAGTGGGACCAAGACCCTTTGGTGTGCTGGTTTCTGGTCACCAGTTAATGAATTTAGCCTTAATCCCCTGTGAATACATGGGTTTTAAGGCCAAAAGAGACTATTGTGATCATCTAATCCGCCCTCCCACATAACAGGTCACAGGACTCCCCTGAACAAGTCGATGGCAGAACCGTCTGACTCCAGTGTGCTACGCACAGGAGCGCAAAGCTGGGCCTGTCACACAACCCCCATTTTACAAATCGGGGGACACCTCGCTCAGAGCACGACTTGTCCCAGGTTACACAGCCAGTCTCTGGCAGAGCTGGGGAGAGAACACAGGTCTCCTCCCTCCCAGTCCTATACCGGAGCCTCACAAGTATCCTTTCACAATCTCCCAGCCCGCCGGGCAGGGTATTGGAACTGCCAGAGCTCCAGGTAGGGGCCTGTAACTGTAGGTCAGCATTAAATTGTGCAACCCACAGTTACATGCCAGAGGGACACCTCAGCTTCTCCTTAACGATGAACCATCCCCGGAGCCTTCGCTCAGCCCTGCCACACAATCACAGACTGACACCAACACTTCGTCACGCTCCACTCTCGGAGGCCCGGGGGCTTTGTCAGGGACCCAGAAATGAGGCGCACAAAGTGGCAACAGAGGAAGAAGCTTGAAATCAGGGGATCCTTTCCTTGAACAACATGTCCAGAGTTCTCTGTACTCCCGGTATAAGCTGCCAGGTCTTTGCCAGGCGGCCCAACAGCTGAGCTGTGCACAAGGAAATCTTTCTCACGGGCTTTTCTAATCGCTTAAGAGCAAAACTGTTTCCAAACAAAGAGGGTTTTAAGCACACACAAAAAACAGGCCCTCTTTGGGCTAAAACAAAACCAGCCTGGCACAGTGTTTTGGAGACTTGCTCTCTCCCTTAGGTTCCCTGGTTAGCGTGACCTCAGGGCCTCCCGGACAGGGGGTTGTTTGTATAAAGCTCAGGCCCTTACCTCTTAATCGAGCTATTCGGGAACATCTCCGCCTCATCTCCCCACCTTTTCCCACTGGTTCTCATGTAGGAAGCAGGACATTCTAGGAAGGATTAAATTCCCTTTTTGCTATGCTGAAGTTAAGGGTCTCCTGCCCCATTACAGTCACCTTCATGGCCTTGGTTAATGATTTATAGACATTTAAAGTGACGGTTTGCGCGGGACTGAGACGAATTAGAAACTAAGGCCAGCGACATCCCATCCCTCCTAATGAAGGGCAGCTGCAGAGAGAAAGGAAGATAACCGAGTGGTTAACGCTCAGGAGAGGGAAGGAGGAGGCCTGGCTTCTAGACCTGTCAGTCTTCCGGTGACGTTGAACGTTTTGGCCCTGGTGATCTGCTTAGACAGAGGTTGCTTGTTGATTGTCACCTAAATAAAAGGGACCTGGTTTTCAGAGAACCCATCCCTCCAGTTAACATCTGTGCAAGTGGTGGGTGCTCAGAATATCAAACCCCTGTAGGTGCCTCTGTAAGTATAGGTGGAGGCGGTAGCCCTGCCTATTAAAGATGCCTGACACTTCTTCCCATTATAAGGCCCTGTTTTCAGCCACTTATAATTTGGCCAAACTTCCCAGGCCAGTGTCTGCTTTAGGCAGACACTGTTCGACCATTTCCAAGAATCTGCTAACCTTTCCTTGCACCCCCCAGACTTTGAAACAGGGAGACTGAGGTCAGGGCACCTAGGTTCTGTTCCCAGCCCTGCTGTGTTAGACAAAGTCAATTAACCTCTCTGCCTCAGTTTCCCTCTCTGTATGCTTGAAGAAACTTATGTCATTAGCTAACGGATCCCTGTCAGGAAGCTTTTCCAGGTATGCAGCCTAAGTTTTTCCTCTCTTAATTTCACTCCATTGCTCCTAATAGAAGTAAAAGCCAGTGATGGAGAATGCCCATTAGGTCATTTCATTGTTGCCCAACTGAGAAACTTGAATAATTCCCCCAGAAATGGTTACATTTAGTTACATTCCAACATCTGAATGCATGAGAGGATGTTAGATTTGCCAATGGCCAAGGCCATTCTTTTGAACAAATGCACTGTTTCAGAACAGGCCTTGGGAGAATTTCCACGCTATTCGCTTGTACCTATTGCCAAGAATTGTCTCAGTCAGGTTCAGAGATAAGTAGAAAAGAGATATTTATCATGCAGTGATCACAAAACACTAAACTTTCTGGCATGGACATGTATCAGGAGACCATTCAGATAAGCACAGAGTTCAGACTCTTGGAAGTCTGTTGCTTATTCATTCACTAGAGAGATTACATCCCACCTACAATTTCCTTCAGGGAATGCTGCCTGGGGTTTATCAAGGCAGAACACCAGGAAATCCCAGCTGGTTGGGAAATTGGCTCTCCCAATGCAGAACATTTCGATTAAAATGAAAAAAAAATAGTTGTCATTGAAATTTTCCATGGAAAAGTTTGATCTTTCAGTGAAAAATCAAAAATTGAAATATTTAAATGCTGCCACGGTGCAGCATGGAAGTTGTAGTTTATGTGCTTTGTCGTTCTTCTCTATAGACTGGGCTCCCGGGTCAAACTACATCTCCCATGATGCACCATAGGCTCAGAGGATGGTGAGCAGAACAGTTGCATCATGGGAGTCCCTGGACCCCCTGCACAGTCCGAAGGAATGGGTTCTGTGCTGGGGATCTCCTCATAGACTCATAGACATTAAGGTCAGAAGGGACCATTATGATCATCTGGTCTGACCCCCTGCATGCCGCAGGCCGCAAGACCCTTCCCTGGACTCTACCGTTGAAGTCCCCAATCCTGTGTTTTAGTGACTTCAATCGGCTGAGACCCTCCTGCTAGTGATCCCTGCCCCATGCTGCGGAGGAAGGCGAAAAACCTCCAGAGGCTCAGCCAATCTACCCTGGAGGAAAATTCCTTCCCGACCCCAAATATGGCGATCAGTAATACCCCGAGCATGTAGGCAAGAGTCTCTAGCTTGACCCTTGTTGGCCATTATGCTGTTCATGTACCATTGCTTGGTTTTCCTTGGCTACTATGTTTTATCATTAAACCATTCCCTCCATAAACTTATCCAACTTAATCTTAAAACCAGACAGGTCTGTCGCCCCCACCGTTTCCCTCGGAAGGCCGTTCCAATATTTCACCCCTCTGACGGTCAGAAACCTTCGTCTAATTTCAAGTCTAAACTTCCCCCCGGCCAGTTTGTATCCATTCGTTCTCGTGTCCACATTAGTACTAAACTGGAATAATTGCTCTCCCTCCCTTGTATTAACCCCTCTGATATATGCTCCTCTCCAGGCTTCAGCACAGCCTCTGTCCAGCTATAGCAGTGGATCATATCTGTATCTGGTACTACAGTCTCAGAGCTGCTGAGTCCCTGCTCTGTCAGGGTGGAAAGGGGAGAAATTATGGCATGTTGCTCTGCCAGTTTATCCTTCTGAATCCTCACGCCCCACTGCCCTGCAAGCCTATCTGTGCTCTGCAGAGCCAAGCTGTGCGTACCCCGGCACAGTCCTAGAATCCTGCCTCAGTCCTATGCAGCACCACTACGCAAGAGCAAACAGAGTTTGTTCCTCACAGATTTCACGCTGATCTCTGCCTGCAGCGTAGTGGGGTGGGAGTTGGAGATATGGCATCTTATCGAACCTAACACTGCAACATGAGCGTGAGTTGCTCATTCGGGCAAGTCCCCTACACACAGTCCATCCATTCCCTAAGTAAACAGCCATCTGTTGTTCCAGGAACATTTCATCCCTCTTTGCGGGAGGAAGAAACTGTCACTCGCTTTATTAATTTAATTGCTAGTTGCAAAAATAAAAACTATAGCAACAAACCGTCCAGCATAACAAAGCTTTGTTGATTGCGGCTGCGGAGTGAAGGCATTGCAAAGTGCAAAGGAATGTCTAGTTTAAACACGGGCTCAGCTGGATATCGAGTTTAACACACTAATGATGTATAAGCTACTTCTCTGTCCTTGGCAAGTAACGTTAGGATGAAAACATCTCTCTACGTCTCTCATCTTGCAGGTCCATGATATCAAATTTCAGGGGCAGAATGCGGAAGAGAAAGAATCATGGATGAAAGCCCTGAATGAAGGGATCGGCAGAGCCAAAAATAAAATACTTGATGAGGTAAGATAAATGGGTTTCAAGCTGTATGCGTTTGTGGGTCAGCCCTCATTCACTACCGTGTAGAGGGGCGCTGAAACCCCCCCCCCCCCCGCCTCCTGCACCCCCTCGCTTCAGGTCCAGATTGTGCACCTGGAGTCCAAAACTGCTGTTAGCAGGTTCAGATTATAGCTACACGCTTGAGCTTGTGGCCAGGTGTCACATTAGCCTTTCTCCCCGTTCCTTCCTTTGCTCAAGCCTCCTGAATACTAAGCAACAACAAAGGTTAGAGCAAAAAAGAAAAAAACCTCTTGTGGCCAGATTCAGAGGTGGAGTGAGGAGAAGGGAGTTACGCTCCCTTAGTCTGAGTTACACCAGGCAAGGCTTAGTCACGGCCGCTTGAATTTCAGAGCCAGAACATGTCAGAAGTTAAAATAGCAGCTGGTTCACACCTTCTCAGGTCCTACTGCTAGTTGCTTTTCTCCTCTCTTCTGGCCCTGTACTATGTGTGTTACACAGACTACTTAAGACTCAGTGAGCCAAATTCAGAAGAGCAGGGTGTGGAGAGCGATGGGGCATGTTATGTTGTTAAATGGGTTAGACTGTGATTTGGCATCATGTACATGCGGAGGGGCCTGGAAGGTGTAGGTGGGTGGGTGTGGCCTCAAGTTAGAGTCTCTCTAGACTCCCCCAGAATTTGCCCCTTGGAGTGGGATAACAATGCTGTGTCTTTCCTCCCTAACAACATACCTGCGAATGCGGGACATGTACGTTTCAGCAGCATTTTATACAAGCCTCTTGGGGATAACGTATAGAATCCACCACCCACTGAGCATGGCATTTGCCCCCTGCCTCCTCTGTAAGGGTGGGACTCTCCTGGAGGACAAAAAGGGGGAGGAGAGAAAATTGCTGACCCAGTGGGGTTGGCCTGAGCTGCAAAAGCAACTAAGAGCCTGGTCCAGAGCCCATTGAAGTCAGTGGGAGATGTTCTAATGACTCCAGAGGGCTTTGGATCAGGCCCTAAGTTAATCCACTGGAATCTCTGTCTACCCCTGTGGAAGGAACTTGGGCACTGGAGCTGCCGCAGCTCGGAATTTGTCAAGCAGTTGCTCTGCCCCATGGAAGGACTTTCCTTCCCCTCAGCCCCGTGGCTCTCTGCAGCACACAGCCTGGGTACTGCACCTGTAGATCTGGACACGCGTGTAATCGGACACAGAGTCCACCAGCTTTTCGCGCTGCCTGGAGAGACGCCTAGTGGAAAGTTACTACACACGCCATTAGCGCTACCCTTCAGCAACACGTCACCAAGAGCTGCCTGCGGCTGTTCCGGAGAGGTTGCAAAGAAGCTGCCTCCCCCCCACCCCGACTCTGAAACGCCCCCCAAATCTAGACATTCAGGCAAAGGAAGGACCAAAACCACACAGCGTAGGATTTGACATGGAGCTAACCTCAATCCCTTACCAGGAAGGGCAATATCTACTATGCAGTAGTAGGAAGTGCATAAACTCCCCCAAGCTAAGGAGAAGCCACCATGAAAGGAATGAAGCCACCATGAAGAAATGAGTAGGGGGAACTTGGAGAGTAAGAAACCAAGAAGCTCTGATTAGTGAAAAACAGGCCAGGCTTTAGGGAAGTGGAAAATAGAGTGCTGTGTAAAAATCTCTGAGAGAAAGGCCAGGGATAAAAAACCACCACATGCCTTCCAGGGCCGGCTCCAGGCCCCAACCCTCCAAGCCTGTGCTTGGGGCGGCACCTGGAGGAGGGCGGCACTCCAGCCAGCCAGGGAGAGCGGGGCCACAGCCGGGCTCGGCGCCCTCCACGCGGCGCTCCGGCCGGCCGGGGAGAGCGGGCCGCGGCCAGGCTCGCCGCCCTCCACGCGGCGCTCCGGCCGGCCGGGGAGAGCGGGGCCGCGGCCAGGCTCGCCGCCCTCCACGCGGCGCTCCCGCTGGCCAGGGAGAGCAGGGCCACGGCCGGGCTCAGCGCCCTCCCCTGCCGCACTCCCCGCTGGGGGGCGGCGGGAGGCTTTTTTGCCTGGGGCGGCAAAAAAGCCAGAGCCGGCCCTGATGCCTTCATCAAGCATGCACTACAGACATGGCGTTGCAGAATGCATACTCGGCGGGCTCAATCCTGGGCCTCTTATTCGGGCAGTGAAGTCAAGGGGAAGTTGGAGTAAGGGGTGGAGAATCAGACTCCAATTGCACTGCGCCATTTTGATAAGAAAACATTTACACTTAAGAGATCCAGACTCTCTATTTTTATTCATGGGAGGGAACTCGCAGTAACTGGAGGTGGCCCAGGGAAGCAACCTGCTGGTATCACCAAATCCCATTCGGTGTCTGATGTTTTTTAGGGCAGGCATTGCTCGTTCATCATTCCAAATAAAAAGCAGCATTTGTAAGTAACTGGACCAGCTGGGAGCAGCAGACAAGCTGGGGCTATATTATAAATCTGAGCAGCAGAAAACTCAGCATTCAAGCTTGCTCTCATATTACCCCTGAGCAGTAGAGGTGATGTAATGTAGCATAATGCTGGGCAGTCCTTGCTGTAGCAGCCTGCCTCTGTCTCCCTGGTTGCTGGGAGAGACCAGCGCTGCTGCTGCGTTCTCTTTCCAAAGTGGAGCTCTCGTTCTCTCTCTCTGCCCCGGCGATGATGACATGCAATGAACTCCGCACTCCCTTGCACAGAGTATCGCCCCCGGCCACAAATATGGAGATATACCTATCCCATAGAGCTGGGAGGGACCCCGAAAGGTCATCAAGTCCAGCCCCCTGCCTTCACTAGCAGGACCAAGTACTGATTTTTGCCCCAGATCCGTAAGTGGCCCCCGCAAGGATTGAGCTCACAACCCTGGGTTTAGCAGGCCAATGCTTAAACCACTGAGCTATCCCTCCCCCCAAGACTTGTGGGCATGAAGTGCTGCATGCTAACTGCTTCAACATCTGTGTGCACATGCCCTGTTGAAAATCAGCAGGCCCAATCCTCTGCTGGCACAAGTCAGCTGCGCTCCACTGAAGTCAATGGGGCTATACTGAGTTACACCAGCTGAGGAGTTGGCCCATTTTGTTTCCTCCCCCAAAAATTGACCCCATAGGCCTGGTCAGTCTTTCTACTCCAGAGAACTCTCTTCTCTCTGGGGAGCTGAGACAGGTAACTGGAAAGAGATGCATGCAATCAACTGGCATTTCTAAAGCCCCTATTGGTGCTGCCCCCTGTGCCTTCACACACGGAGGACTGAATCCCTGGCTGTGGCCAATAAGCGCTGGGTGCAGCTGGGGGGATGCAAAGGAGACATTCATGTCTCCCCGTTCCTGAGGTCAACTCTGTGAGTCACCAGCCCCAGCGTAGTTTAGAGCAGCCTCAGAGACCCTCTGAACTAGATCATCGTAGGACCATTATGCCAGCTGGGATCACTAGAGTGTGGTACATTGTGGCAATACCTCAGCATGCCCCCTGCACTAGGAAGGTGGAGGGGCGGGGGAGTCAAGAGTGGTAGGCATAGAGCCAGAATAGTGAAAGGACTTAGCATTGGCTCTCATTTTCCACGTGCGAGGCAATGAATTTTAAATCTGATTCCAGTAAGTGAATGTGTTAATTCAGTCACTGTTGCAATTAATCCAGGTCGCTGCTCACATCTTCTGTTCAGCTCTTGAGATCATTAAAGCTGTACAAAGAAAGGTCTGTTAACAAGACCTGCTGATACAGTTCACGGTCAGGTCAGGATTATTAACGTGCCTTCACCTCTAAGATTAGTTTTACTACATCTCCCTGCCACGTTCCAAGCCGGAGTGCAGGACAACAAAAGTCTCTTGTGCCCTCCTTTTCCTGCCCTGTAGGTACCTAGGGATTGGCAAACCTCAGAAAGTTGGATGGGCCAAGTCAGACACTCTCAGTTTCACCTGTGGGGTTGCAGAACTAGCGTCGCATCTTGCAGATGAAGTCAGTTCCACTCTGACACAGAGCTATCATGAATGTGCATGTTGCAAACCACGCGGAGAATCTGGAGCTAGCATCGCATTCCAAGGGCCCCTGGCTAAGGTTCTGAGTGCGGCTCTATCAGATCACAGCTGGGTTTGCTTTGAAAATACTAAATGGATGTTGTGGCCACGTCGAGCACTGTTTTGTTGATGTGCAAGTTCACATTGCTGGCAGCTCGCAGTAAGGAATGGAGGATGGCGTTTAAGTCTTCCCCCACCTTTTAGCTTTGCAGGAACAAACCCTGCATTTTGTCTGCATACGTACCGCAGGGGATAAGAGGATGAAGGAGCCTGTTCTACAAACATCCACCCAAGAAAGAGTTGCGTAACTTTCCTGCTAAAAGAAAAGCTTTTGGCAACTCAGTGCTCAAGCGCCTGATACATACGGCTACTAGGGTGACCAGATGTCCGGATTTTATAGGGACAGTCCCGATATTTGGGTCTTTTTCTTATATAGACTCCTATTACCCCCCATCCCCGTCCTGATTTTTCACACTTGCTATCTGGTCACCCTAACGGCTATAAGTAAGAGTTCAGCATTGAGCTGTATTGTAAATGCTTCTGAAAGGGAGTGCAGGTTTTAAGGCAATATAATGATGTTGGTGAACAATAAAAACCACACAGAAAACAAATGTTAAAGGTTTATAAATAAAATAAATAAATTAATGGAGATATACTATCTCCTAGAACTGGAAGGGATCTTGAAAGGTCATCGAGTCCAGCCCCCTGCCTTCACTACCAGGACCAAGTACTGATTTTGCCCCAAATCCCTAAGCAGCCCCCTCAAGGATTGAACTCTCAACCCTGGATTGAGCAGGCCAATGCTTGAACTACTGAGCTATCCCTCAATAAGCCTAGAAATCTGGGACCTGATTGTAATGGTGACATATTCAAAAGCCATCCTGGCTACAAATGCACCCTTACCAGAAATGGCAGAAAAAGACAAAGAAGAAGTGGGCTGTAGTCCACGAAATCTTATGCTCTAATAAATTTGTTAGTCTCTAAGGTGCCATAAGTACTCCTGTTCTTTTTAAAGACATTCTCATACCTTCTCAATGAGATGGTTTTAGGCAACTCAGTGATGTTCTCCTTTCCTTCCCCCATTTAAAGGTGAAGATAGATCAGAGCCTTTCCCTGGAACATGTGACTCGAGACAGAGTGAAAGTCAGTCATGGGCGCAGACCACCCACCAGAATTCACCTGAAAGAGGTAAGAATGCACCCCGGGGTTGCATGCTGCAGCACAGTGAAATCACCTGTATGCAATCTCCATCTGGTAAAAGACCCAAGCCGGAATCAGTGAGAACTATTTCTGGGTGTATCGTTCATGCTGATTACATGCAAAACACAAGCTTCTATCTGACCCCTTACAGGTAAAACTAGCCGGTAACTGGAGTAAGGGAAAAAGCGGTTACTCACCGTTGTAACTGTTGTTCTTC